CAAGTTTCCAGGATTAGAGAGAGAAGGAGTTCCGGCAGACTGGGGCCCCTGGAATCACCTGACTTATTAGAGTTATCTGTGGGGTTTGTAAAATGCAGATTCCTCAGGTTGGACCAAGCTCAGTGAATAAGACGCTCTGGGGAGGGGGGGGGGCCGGGAATCTGCATTTTTGGTAAATTTCCTGCTACTGACTCAAACACTAAGGTTCGAGAATCAGTGGTCCAGGACATTGAGTTCGTCGGTCCTGGATCCAAATTTGGGCTCTGCCGTTTTCTAGCTGTGTGACTTTTCAAGTCACTGATCAAAGCCTCAGTTTCTTCATCTCTAAAATGGGATAATAACGCTGCCTAAATTTGGCCTATAAAGTGCCTATTTTTGTGCCTAGCTGAAACTGTCTATGTGCCTAACCACTGTATGTAAACTAAATCATTCTTGGGCCCTTATTATACCACAAAACAAATTCTGGGGGTATTCATCCTGCAAAAGGATTATTCAGTGTAGACTTCCATTAAGTGGTCAACTGATAAATTAGTTTGATCTGTGTCACTCTCTGTACCCGTTGCCAGCCCTGGACAAGGCAGGCTCTGAGGCTTGGAAAAGGGAGAAAGGCACTGAGCCTGGAGCCTGGGAAGAGCGAGATGGGCCAGGGTGAAGTGATGGGAATCTGCTGTGTGACTGAAAAATACCTGATTAATGTTACAAATATTTCTAAAAATGAATAGATCACTGGGGCCCTGTGGGTAGGCAGTAAAAGCCATAATCTTCTATGTCTCAAAGTCCTCAAGCCCCTCAGAGCACTTAGTGGGCATCTCTCAGCTGTGAGTATTCCCATGAACCAGTCGTAGCCCTCAGAAGAGATCAGTTGAGTCTGTGGTAAATGTAGCACTGCAAGGTGTCTGGAACCTTTAGGGTAAGCTCATGAAGCAGGCCACCACCTGTTAGGACTACAGAGAATCCAGCCACAGGCCTACCATGGCCATGGGGGGTCTCATTGCCTTGCTGTCCATGCATAGTGGGACATCTAAACTCTCATTCTTAGGTCAGTTGTTTAACATTTTACCTGCAGAGATGTTCCACAGTTCAGTTACATGGCCAGGCTAGCTCACTGCCACACCTCTCCATACCCTATTGCCTGGGCCTATGTAGAACAACCCTTAGTCCAGCATGGTCTCACTCTCTTATGCCAGCCTTGACTTTCACTCCCCATTACCACTTTCTCTTCATGCTCCATTCAGTTTTAGATGAAAATGAGCCATCTTTCTCCTGTCCCAGGGCCTTTGCACATGCAAATCCTTCTGTCTAAATCAACCTTCCCTTGGCCCAAGTAAATTCCAAATCATTCTTTAGAGCCCAACTCAAGCATCATTTCCTCAGGGAAAACATTCTTGATACCCACCTCCTCCACCAAGACCAGATATCCTCTCGCTTATGTCCTCATAGACTGTTCATTTCCTTCAAAGTAGTTATTTCAATTTGTGAGTACACATTCATTCCAGTATTTTTTTTTTACTTTTTAATTTAACATACAGTAAAATTGACCTTTATTTGCTGTACAATTCTATTAATTTTAACATGAAAAGATTCATGTAACCACCACCACAATCCGGGAAGAGAACAGTTCCATCACCCCTAAAAAACTCCCTCATACTATCCCTTTGTAGTCACACCCTCCCCATCCCTAGTCACTGGCAACCACTGATCTGTCCTCTATCTCTGTGATTTTGCCTTTTCCAGACTGTCATATCAAGGGAATCATACAGTATGTGTGATTTCACACAGCATAATGCCTTCGAGATTTATCCATGTTGTTGCTGATATCAGTAGTTCATTCCTTTTTACTGAAAAATAGTATTTCACTGTATGAGTATACAATAATTTATCCATTCACCTGTTGAAGAACATTGGACTATTTTCAGCTTTTGGCCATTATGAATAGAGTTGCAATAAACATTCATGTACAGTTGTTGAGGTAAACATGAGTTCTTGTTTGTCTAGGGTAAATAAGACTGGGATTTCTGGGTCATATGGTAAGTATATGTTGAAATTATAAAAAACTGCCAAACCATTTTCCAGAGTGGCTATACCATTTCAAATCTCCAACAGCAATGTTTGAGAGTTTCTACATCCTCACCAGTACTTAAAATTGTTACTATATTTTATTTTTTAGTCATTCTAATGGGTATGTAATAGTATCTCATTGGCGTTTTAATTTGCATTTCTCTAGTGGCTGATGGTGTTGAACATCTTTTCATGTGCTTATTTGCCTTCTGTATATACTCTGTTGAAGTGTCTGTTAAAATCTTTTGCCTAGTTTTTAGTTGCATCATTTATTTTCCTACTATTGAGTTCTGAAAGTTCTTTATGTATTATGGATACAGTTCTATTGCTAGATATGTGATTTGCAAATATTTTCTCAAGTCTGTACCTTATCTTTTCATTCTCTGAACAAAGTGTCTTTCACAGAGAAAAAAGGTTTTCATTTTAATAAAGTCTAATTTATCAATTTTATGTTTTGTGGATCATACTTTTGGTGTCACAGCTAAGACTCTTTGCCTAACCCCAAGTCATTAAGATTTTGTTTTCTTCTAAATGTTCTCCACAGTCTGATGGGTATGTAAATGTTTATAATTGTTCTATTTTTTGCTGTATTGAACATTGTAATATATAATATCCTTCCTTGTCTCTTGTAACCTTTTTTGACTTAGTCTATTTTGTCCTTATAAAGCCACGAGTGCCAAAAGAAAAAAATAAAGTCTATTTTGTCTGATATTAATATAGCCACCCCTGCTCTCTTTTGGTTACTATTTGTATGGAATATCTTTTTCTATTCTTTTAGTTTCAGTCTATTTGTGTCTTTGGATCTAAAGTGAGTCTTTTGTAAACAGCATATAGTTGGATAATGTTTTTTAAAATCTATTCTGCCAATCTCTGTCTTTTGATTTGAAGTGTTTAATCCATTTACATTTAACATAATTATTGATGAGAAGGGACTTAATTCTGTCTTTCTACTATTTGTTTTCTATATGCTTTATGGTTGTATTGTCCCTCATTGCCTGAGTTACTATTTTCTTTTGTGTTGTTGATTTTCTATTTTGTGTTGTTACTATTTCTTTTGTGTTGAGTTGATTTTCTATTGTGAAACATTTAAATTCCTTTTTCATTTTCTTTTGTGTATATTCTGTAGCTATGGTAGTCCCCTTTTATCCATGGGGGATAAGTTCTAAGAATTAGCTATTTTGTGGGTACCTGAAACTACGAATAGTACCAAACCCTGTATGTACTATGCACAAATTTCTTTTTCACAATTTCACAGATATTTATTCTTAACATAGATTTTAGTGACCTTGGCATACAATTTTTTTTCTTTCCTTATTAAGTCAAGAACTTTCACCTTTTCACTTAAAGCACTTTACGGCTTTGCTTTGGCATATCCAGATTGCCCTCATCACTACTCTTGTGCTTTGGGGCATTATGAAGTAAAACAAGGGTTTCTTGAACACAAGCACTACAATACTATGACAGTCAATCTGATAACCTAGATGGCTGCTAAGTGACTGATGGGTAGGAAGTGTATACAGCATGGATACACTAAACAAAGGAATAATTCACATCCCGCATGGGACAGAGCAGGATGGTGCAAGATTTCATTATGCTACTCAGAATAGCGTGCAATTTAAAACTTATGTGAATTGCTTATTTCTGGAATTTTCCATTTTATATTTCAAACCACGGTTGGCCTTGGGATACTGAAACTGTGGAAAGTGAAACTGTGGATAAGGGGAGACTACTGCATTTTCTTTGTGGTTACCATGGGGATTACATTTAACATCTTAACTCTAATTTGAATT